ATCATGCTGGAGTCTCTGAAAAGACTGGGGAATAGAAATTTGACGGAGAATAAACTCATGTGCAGTAATGGACACAAATGTGTCCAAGGTTATTCAAATCCTTGTCTGTAAAATTTCATCCAGAGATCATCAGTGAGAAGGAAGAAAAGCTGTGAGATGATAAACTTGATGGGAGATTGTGTAATAAAGTTGACGTGTATCCTTTCCCATAGAAGAATAAACAAGCTGGATGAGTTGACAAACCCAACTGGTCAAATTGGAAAGTGAGAAGTAACAAGAAGAAGAATTCCAAAGCAAAAAAAAACTATGGCAATTACCACATAGGGGGAACAGTATGAGTGAGATAACACTGAACTGCCAAAACAGGACATAGAAGATGATCTTCGTCAACATGATCATATAGAGAAGAAATGGAAGGGAGGGAGATTGAGGAAAACAGCCTAGCATCCTTCTAAGCAGTCCAAGTCTTATGGAGAAAGTAGCAGCCCAGTAATAAAATCAACCTATCTCTGTGATAAAATCTGCAGGAAGCATCTAAGGCAAAAATGTCAGTGACATTTCCTATAAGCAAGATGATGAAAAATTAAATTTTGAAAGAAAAATGAAAGAGTCAACAAATAGCCCTAGGTTTGAGCAGGGAATATAAGAACCCACAAAACAACAGAGATTTCAGTCCAGAAGAGTGACCAGACAATTACAACTGATGATAAATGTTCAGAAGAGGTTCATAAAAACTGGAAAATGGCCGAAGAAGAGATGTAGAAACAGAAACTGCTTTTGAAAAGCCAGGTAAAAAGAAGAAAAAAAAAAGAATAGTCTCATATTGGCTGAAAGCATCTACTGTCAAAACTGTAAGATCAAGATCGGCAAATAGAAAAGAGGAAACCTGAAGCTGAGGTGAGTCAATAGGCAAAGATGAGAGTGCACCCAAGATGGAAAAAAATCCATTGAAATGCCAGAGGATGAAAAGACTACTCCATGAGAAGGATCCTGTTCAAGTGAGACAGTATATTCACCACCAGG